TGTAGTTGGATCATTTATTGCACAACCACTTTTGCCCCACATGGTCTAGTATTTTATGAAATTGCTTTAACTGGAATATATCAACTACAAGACACATCCAATAAATGAGCCGTTTTTTAATCATGTTTACGTTTAACAAAAAAAAAAAAAAAAAGGGTGTTCTTTTAAAGAATGACATACATTCAATAATACAATAAGAAAGAATAATCAAATTTAATCAAATAAAAATTACACACAAGCCTCAAACACCATTGTTTTATCATTCTTGTGTAAATCCCACAACAAAAATCCTGGTGAAAAACAGTCCACTCTTGGTAGCATTTGATTGGCCATCATGTTTCCTAGTGAGATTACAACAATGATTTTTTTCGTATTATGTTTGGGGGACTTTTATTTAAAAAAAAGTAACTATATAGGGCTCTTGGGTAACCTGTGGTTAGAATGCATAATTCAGTATAACCATATTATAAATTTTTACAGTGCTTCCAAGAGGCATCATGTCTATTGAACTGTATTTTGTAAGTTTAACATGTATATTATGATATTTGCTCTTTTTGTCATTTTTCTCTGGGACAAAAGGATGACAATAAACTGCAAAACCTCACCTGTTTAATTGGAGGTTGATTTTAATTCCTGTTTCTGTTTTCATATACGTTAAAACCACAAAATAAAACTTTAATACATTTCTGTCTGCCTCTTCTGATGATTATAATTACAATTTAGCCTAGATTTCATCCACAGCACAACTCAGAGGCAAACTAGGTTTTCATGGTGGTGTAAAGATAGCTTACTCAAGGAATCTACAAAATTTGATAAACATTTTGACAACTGAAGTGCGATTATTTTGCCTATACTGTATATGTGCATCAGGCACTGACACAAGCTGTGGAGTGTCTCAGAGCAGCTCATTAATATTCACAACCATTCCAAACATGGTCAAAAAGCTTTTGATTCTTGTGGTAATTTCTGTGTTTTTAGACAAGCGTATAAAAGGGTTTGAGCATTTCTGGACAATTTTTGCACTTACCTAAGCCACATACTTAGTTTGTAGATATCAGAGAACAATTTAACATTAAATGAGTAAAGTTTATTTATAAACTACCTTCAAGAGGATTACATGCTTATGATTGATCAAGGCTGATCCTGCATTTGCCAATTCATGATTCACCAATCAGACGATTCCTAAGTCACTATGAATACCTATGGGCACGGTGGCCCAGTGGTTAACAATGTTGCCTCAAAGCAAAAACGTCACTGGTTCTAGTGCTTATTAAGCCAGTCAAAGTTTCTGTGCAGTTTACATGTTCTCCCCATGTTTCCTCCGGGTCCCTCGGTTTACTCCCACCATCTAAAAACATGCGACTTAAGTTAATTTGACTAACCCAAATCAGTACCATAGACATGCTCCTTGTAAATCTCTTCATATCAATCCCTAATTGTTCATTAGCTACAAACGACAAGAAAAAACAGGAGTTCTCAAGATCAAACTCTTCTCTCGCCCTGCAAATGGGAGGGAGCCCTGGGCTCGAGGATCTTATGAGCTCAGAACTCTCTTGCAGGACAGCATGCCAGATACGCTTAATAATCAATCATAAGCTAAGTGTAAACTCTTGAAATGCACTTTATGGCAATTATAAAACAATTTAAAACTGTTAGTGAAACTAACTATGCTTCTGCTGAATGTCTGGCAGGCCCTTAGCTGTGTGTATATTGGAAAGATTGGGTGTGGAGGAGGTTGAACTGTGGTTATGTCCAGAATTTGAGTGCTGGAACTCTCTGACGAAGCACCAGCCAAACCAGCACCACAGTCTGAGAGAGATGGCCAACCACTGGCTGCTTACCTGGACCAAAAAATACAAGGCAAGCAGCAGGTGTTCAACTGATAGAGATGTTTTTGAGCAGAGCAAAAGGTGTGTTATTTGAAATGTGGTTATGTTGTCTTTCGCAGCTGCACAGCAGGTCAGTTTCACTGCGCAGTGAAGGAGAACAGAGTTTGGCTGGTCCTGTGGAGGTGCTCAAATATTTCTGCTCTCTTCAGAGAGGCAAACAGACTCGACCTCCGCCACCAGAGGCCAGGAAAGATGCTGTTATAGCGCCTTCAGACTTGCCAAAGTATGTCAGTTTTTATTTTGTGTACATTTGAAGACAAATTATTTCAAGTGTTCTGATTAACAGAGAGAAGATTTCAACACATTTTAAACATAATAATAACTCATTTATATTAAACAAATATCTTTAGTCTTTGCCGTGATGACAGTGCATGTTTTACTAGTTACTTTGCAAGATACTAGTATTCGGCTTAAAGGGCCATTCAAAAGCTTCATCAGGTAAATAAGGCTAGTTAGTTTAATTAGCAAGCCATTGGACAACAGTGGTTTGTTTTGTAGACAATTGAAATTTTTACAGTTTTAATAATAATAATAATAATAAAATATTCCGGCTAAACTAAAAGAAATAAGACTTTCTCCAGAAAAAAATAATAATAGGAAATACTGTGAAAATATTCTTTGCTTTATAAAAATTCTAATTAAATTTTTAACTCCAAACATCTCTATTTAGCTTTAAAGTATCAGCCTCATAAAGCACGTCTCTTAAACAGCTGACTTGAAGCATTTTTTAATTCATTCTGTTGATTGCTGTGGTGGGGTCACTTTTAGCTTAGCTGATCATAACAAATTGAATCAAATTTGACCATTAGCATTCATTCATTTTCCTTCGGCTTTGTCCCTTTATTCATCTGGGGTCACCACAGCGAAATGAACCGCCAACTTATCATATGTTTTACACAGCGAATGCCTTTCCAGCTGCAACCCAGTACTTGGAAAGACCATTAGCATTTTATTATTAAAAAATTATAATAATATTCATATTCAAAGTCATCTTATGATTTTTTTAATGAAATGCTAACGATCAAATCTGATTCAATTCATTATGCTAAACTAAGCTAAGTGACCCCACCATAACAATAAATAAATAAATAAATAAATAAATCAGCTGTTTTAACCAGACTTGTAAAATGAGCCTTCACCAAAAGTAGATGAAGTGTTCTTTTAAAAAGATCCTCTCTAAAAACACTGAATAAATCTGGTTGAAACAGTTCACATTACCAATGAATGCTTCTTCAATACATTTTCTGAGTGTACAATGATCAGAAATTTCTGTTTTTGTGTAGACCGGAGCCTATTCAGCGCCTGGGAGAGACACACAGCATGTCTAGGATACGAGAGCCTCAAGGTTAGACTTTCAGGATTTATTTAATACAATAACTAACATCACTCTAATATGCCAATGAAACTTAAATGTAATGAGGAGTTTGTTTTTAATGTTCAGTTCAGTTAATATCTATTTTTTAAGAAGTGTAATAAGTTTCAGGGGAAATATGATTCTTTGATCTAATAATTTAGAAGTTTGTACTTAGCTGTAATTTAGCATATTGTATTTTGAAGCATCTTCATTATGAACCAACAGGGCGTCTGCTGCCTCCATTACCATATCGTCCAGAGTTGATGGGCTTCACACGGGTTCTCTCTCTGCCAATGGCTCATGTCACACTGTCCCAGTTCCCCATTTCTCTGGATTTTCAGGAGACCAGACGCCTCTCACCACTCAAATACTTCCACCTAGAGCGCTCCCACGTACAGTATTACAGATAAGACTTAACACTTTCTAAAAGCTTTGAAAGACTCCAGCATACACTCTCTCTCTCTATCTCTGATGCATAAAATAAAACAAAATAAAGTTGTGTATTGTAATTAGCTTTATCTTCCCAGTGTATAACTGACAACTGAATATTAGAGACATATACATTTGTGAAAGCCTGCAAAAATTGCCACGTTAAACGGATAGTTCATCTAAAAAAATTAAATGTATAGTTACTTTACTTACCCTCGATCGTTAAACATGTTAGTGTCTTTTTTTCCTCAGTATAAAATTAGTGAAGATTTTAGCTGAATCTGTGGTCTTTGGTGATTCATATAATGGTAGTCAATTGTTTTTTTTTTTACCCGATTACTGGAGTGAGATTTTGATGACTGGATTGATTAAATGCACTTGTCTAGATCCAACAGTTTGTCAAACTGTGAAATACCCAGACTCACTGTGTCACATTCTACAATCTATGATAGATTGTTATATTTCTTAGATTAGAATATTCAAAAACACTGACACCCATAATTGACAGAACAGCTTCTTGAGCATTAGGGAAGTCATTTCAAAGTGGTCTCAGGCAGAAACCAAATACAGACCAACCCCATCTAGAACAAGCCTTGGAGAACAAAAATTTCACACTCAATGTAAACAATTCTAACCATTCTGTAACCTAATTTCACCATTTTGGCCCATAATATGCCAGAAAATGGCTTGACTGCTGCTTATTTTTGAAAAAATAATGAAAGTATGATATAAAATAGTTAAAAAAAAACAAAAAAAACAGTAAAACAATTTCAATACCTTTGTAAACCAAATTAGTATCAATAACTGTTCATTTCACGGGTACTAAATTTCGTTATAAGGGCGACACTGACCTCTAGCGTTTACATACGCAAAAACTCGGAGAACGCCAGTATTCCAGTATGAAGTTTCTAATGTTGTCGGCAATTTCGAAGTGACGTCTGTTTCTAAATCACATGGTGAAATTTAGGAAAATTACAACGTTTAAACACAACCATCATTCTGACATTAGAAAATGAGGTAACAAAGTCAAAAACACACCTCACCCACTGATCATTACAGTTCAACAGGCGCCATTTTGTAACTGCTTTGTCACTATATTAAAATATTGATTCGAGAATACTTTTGGAACTTGAATGACTTTGTGAGATCTTATTGGTTACATGAAATGTGGATAGAAATTAATATTTTTATGTGAAAGGGCTTCTTCAATTAAGTCATTATCCTAAATGGGTTTTATCATGTGTAATAAAATCAAGAGATGCCCTTGGTGTTATTAACTGAATAGTTCACCCCCAAAATATCCTCATCAATTGCTCACACACAAATGGTTCCAAGCGTTCTTTCTTCTATTGACCATACAGAACACGATATTGTGCAGAATGTTGGGGAAAACAGCAATTGACATCCATAGTAGGAACAAAAAAAGGCTATTTTTTACAGCTTTCTTCATGGTATCTTCATCTGTGATTAACAGATGAAAGAAACTCACACAGGTTTGGAACAAATGGAGGATGATTAAATGATGACAGATCTTTCCATTTTGGTTGAACTTTAAGGCAACAACTCAAAATCATTTCATATGACAAGCTGCATACAATATAATGCAAAGGTTTCCACTAGCCAGCCCTTTTATAGGATTGTGTGTATAAACTAAGCTCAGAGGTGAGTTTAAAAGGCGGCTGTGATTAAATTCTCCAATATTAGTTAAAACATAAGATGAAAGTACTTGTTTGGATAGTCAAATACTTATTATAGCTATAAGAATTATTGATGCATTCACTCTTTAATCCACCACAGTCAAATCTGGGCTATAGTTTAAAAGGTCAGAGGTCACAAGAAGGTCTCGAGAGCGTCCTCTGGAATTTAAAACCTCATCCAGCATCCTCAGCGTTAATTGGCGGCTCTCAGGCTCCTCCAGCAGAGGCCAGTCCAGCAGCTGAGCACTGGAGGGCAGAGCTGGCAGACCAGCCTCGTATTCCTCCAGCGGGTTGGGATACAGCAGCAGACGAAGAGAAGGAATACCTGCTGCCGTTCGGGCCAGAGAAACAAGCCCTGTCCTAGAGAGCGGGTTTAAGGCCAGTCTTAAACTGCGTAAAGCTCGACAGCAGGACAGCGAGGGCAGAAGAGCTCCGAGGAGAGCGTCTGAAAGACCGCAACCACACAGAGAAAGTTGGCTCAAGGAGTTTTCGGCTTGACCTAAGAGACGGCGCAGTGACGGCAGGGAGGAATCATCCAGCCAGTTCTCGCTCAGGTCCAGTTCTCTCAGGGATGAAGCATGCTGGCTGCAGGACAGATAGGCCAGGTCTGTTGAGGTCAGGCACAGGTACGGCAGCTCTAGCACCTCCAGAGGCTGGGAGAGAGAACTGCAAACAGGAAAGTAAATGCACATACTAAAGCTGCGTCCCAAATGGCACACTATACACTATGCACTCATGCACTATGTACTTATGCACTTACACACTCAACAGGATAGTACATGTATGTAGTGTTGTCCCAAATGGCGCACTAATGTTTTTTTACTAAACGGAAATTCAAACCGTTTCCCTGATGACGTTTGACGGTTGCCAAATAAGTGAAATAAACGACCGAATTATCAAATAATACCTATCGTGAGTATTGCCGCATTCACCATTGGGAGGCGATATAATCACTCTCGTAGGAGAATTTTGCTTTCACACTCCAAAATAAATAAAGTTATTCAACATGTGCGTCCGATAGCTCCGCCCCTTCCGCTACGTAAGCAAACCTGTGGTCGTTGAGTGCGTGAAGTGTCCATCATTACACACTTCATTTTAGCGGCTGAATGAGTGCATCATCCGGGTAATTAAAGTGCACTTATTATTTTAAGAGTTTTCAGTGTCAACACACTACTTACACTATTTATACTACAAAATGGCGTAGAATAGTGCATAAGTATGCGATTTGGGACGCAGCTAAAATGTTTATGAATTAGCAGGACAGTAACTAAGCATTTTTACATAACTACTAAAATTAGATACATTTTTCAAGTATCTTTAATTTATCAGAGTACTTTTATTTATTTACTTACATTTAACTTAAATTAAATACTTAAACTTAAATTACTTAAATTCACTGTATTCCAAAACATTATACTGTACTTTACTACTTTATGTAAATGTATGTATATACATTAATGTATCGATATCGCAATGTGTGAATCTGCAATAGTCACATAGCAGGATTAGATTCTTTATTAAAAATTAAAATATATTACATTTTATTTTTGTATTGTTGTATGAAATGAATAATACAATGATGACCAAGTTATTCTAAGTTTGATTGTTAATTTCCTATATTTGAATATTTTTAGATTCTTTTTTTTGTTCTGTCGTATTTATACATGCTTTCAATTTATTAGATTCAGTGTAGATGCACTGCATAACAAAAACTTGATCACCCCAGACGATCTAAATTAATAAAATATTCCCAAATAGAGCTAATCATATCATCTGATAAAAATTATATTCCTACCGCAATATACAAGTGAAGTCAGAATTATTAGCCCCCTGTTTATTTTTTACCCTAATTTCTGTTTAACGGAGGGAAGATTTTTTTTCAACACATTTCTAAACATAATAATTTTAATAACTCATATCTAATAACTGATTTATTTTATCTTTGCCATGATGACAGTAAATAATATTTGACTAGATATTTTAAGACACTTCTATACAGCTTAAAGTGACATTTAAAGGCTTAACTAGGTTAATTAGGTTAACTAGGCAGGTTAGGGTAATTAGGCAAGCTATTGTATGAAGATGGTTTGTTTTGTAGACTATCAAAAAAATATATCGCTTAGAGGCTAATAATTTCGACCTTTTTTTAATCTGCTTTTATTCTAGCCAAAATAAAACAAATAAGACTTTCTCCAGAAGAAAAAAATGTTATCGAACATACTGTGAATTATTTTTTCCTCATTTAAAAAAAATAAATAAAAAATCAAAGGGGGGCTAATAATTCTGACTTCAACTGTATATTGCAGCAAAAAAAAATATTGCAATGTCAGATTTTTCAAATATTGTGCAGCTCTTGTAGAAAAGGAAAAAAAATCTAATCATGGAGAAGTTACAGCTACTTATAGTAACTAAGAGCGCTAAGACTCACTGATTCAAAACTTGTTCAGAGCAAGTCTACAGTTTCAGTCATGTAATATTTTATATAGGGGTGTATATTTTTACTTTAGCACTTGATTTGTGCACTTCAATCATTCATTAATTCATGAATGAACCTCCAACTTATCCAGCATATGTTTTACAGAGCAGTGGCTCTTCCAACTGCAACCCATCAATAGGAAACATTCATACACACTCATACACTGCGGACAATCTGGCAATTTGCATGTGTTTGGACTGTGGGGGAAACCAGAGCACCCCAAAAAAACCCCCAAAAAAAAACACGCAAACACAGGGAGAACATGCAAACTCCACACAGAAATGTCAACTGACCCAGCCAAGGCTCGAACCAGCGACCTTTCTGGTATGAGGCAACAGCGATAACCACAGTGCCACCGCACCGCCTCTGATTTGTGCACTTTATTTGTGTTACTCCGATAAACAAATCTGTGAACCCCCAACGTGTATGTATGCATGTACCTGAGTAGCAGACGCAGGTGTCCTGGCAATCGGAGAGCGGTCAGGCATAATCTCTTGAGTTTCTTCAGTGAACTCAGCCCTTTACACATGTCCTGAAGTGCCCCCTGCTGGCCAGGCTGTGTGCGTTGCAAGTCCAAGTTACAGTAATGCAGTCTGAGAGAGTGAAGCTGAGGGAAGGGAGCTAAAAGTGGAAGTAACATAGCCAAACCTGATACCCCAAGGCTGGAGTAGCGGATGTCCACACCGAGGAGATCCTGCTGAGGCAAGAGACCCAATAAAGTTGCTATGGATGACGCAGAGAGCTCCTCCACGCGGAGATAGCGGCAGTGCAGCCGTATTGGCCCTGGTTGACTAAGAGCATCCCGTACGCGCTCCCAGGAACGGCAATTGACAAAAAGATCAGCCCTAATATGAACCACAACTACATCCTCCCAGTCTTGCTCACACAACCTACTGTTATTTCCATTGGTGTTTGGTTTAACTTCACATTGAGCCTTTCTCCTCAGGATCTCCATTCTCCTCCTGACACCCTTCACCGACTCTTCTGCTAATGTTGGTTGGTTGGTACTGCACTCCATCTTCTGTACTGGTTCATTGTTTCCTTCACTGGTATTTCCGCATCCTGCTGTACCCCGGTCCCGTTTGATGGCTCCCCGTTCACGTTCTGCCTCCAGGCCTCTTTTTCTCTCTCGTTCTCCATCTCTCCTGTGAGCTCTGGAGGCAGCAGCTCGAGCTTGTAGCACCATGGAGCAAAGTGCGACAGTGAGCGACCAGCCTCCCATCGAGTCTTCAACCCTCACATCCTCACACTGAAGTCCACTGAGATCCAACACCTGCAGGCAACACCTGGCGAGAGGAAGGGGTTTTCAGCATTCTTCAAAATATCTTCTTTTGGGCTCAACAGAATAAAGAAGCCCGTAAAGGTTTAGAACAATTTCAGGGTGAGTAAATAATGCATAAACTTTCATTTTTGGATGAACTATGAAAGAGAAAGAATATTAAAGACTAAATAAACTGTATAAAGCAATACAAAATGATAGTGAAAATTAGATCTATTTTAAGAATGCCCACACACAAAATCCATTGATCAGATCGCAAGATCCTCGTTTAAACCTGCCATTTTAAATCAGTCTTGTTTACTTTTGATGACTTTCCAGGGGCCTCATGTATCAACGCTGCGTACGCACAAAAACTTTGCGTACACCAGGTTTCACGCTCAGAATCGCTCACGTTTGGATTTACTAACGATGAACTGAACATGGGAATGTGCGCAGCTCCACGCCAGCTTTATGGCTGGCGTACGCACATTTTTTGTGCGTGTCTGTTTTATTTCCATTGGCGACTCCTAGAGGCAGTTGTGTTAAATTGCACTCTACAAAGTGTCTGAGCCTTGCAATGGCAGCTGTATAAGACGGGTTCATCTAGCAGGTATATAAGATTTCCATACCATACAGTTGACCAGCCAAACATTAAAGCGCAATTTGCAGCGGTTGCCTGTTTTCCCATTGTAATGGAAGAGATCTACCGCACGCACATTGCTATAAAGACACTATCTGAAGATGAATTTGCATGCATGAATCAGAAACATTTCCATTCAATAAATGTGCAAATAAAATATGATGCACACACTTATTAATGATTCCTACTTGTCTTTCTCATGATAAATAGTGGGCAAAATCTGATATGTAGCGGGGAGAAAAAGAAGAATGAGTTAATCAGACGCTGGATTCAAACCGAGTTCATGCTCGAACGTGTCAAAACATGTTTTCAAGCGTTTTACGAGCTGCGCAACTGAGACTGTTAAGTGTATTACAACATTTTACACCTATAAATCACACTATTTCTCTTAACTCCACAGTGCGATGTTCAGACCCATCTGTGTTAACCGCACCAGCTAAACTCTCCCACTCTATTTTTTTCTTTTGTTGTTAATTCCGGAGGACAAACTTGCAAATAACACCGTTTTTCTCTGGTCACCTCCAATTCACATTCTGTTCAAAGTTTCTCTTTTTGCTTGCTTTTGCCTTTGCTTTTTCGTTGGGTTTTGCCAAAGTAGAGTCATTAGCATATTCATACGGGGGAGGAGGCAGGGAGGGGTTTTGTGCTCGTGCATGTTGCGCTCAGTTTCACGTTCATTCGGATGTACAAACAGAATATGCGTGAGATTCGGCGTACGCAGTGTTTCATACATCTGAATTTTTTTCTGTGTACGCACATTTACAGCTTTGTGCGTACGCAATGTTTTAGTATGATTTCCACACAAGTCTTCGTACATGAGGCCCCAGGTCCCTGCAAGAGGTCTCCATGACCTCTGACCTTGCTGGGTAGATCCTGAGGTAACAAATCATTTGGCATACAGAAAAAGCAATGATAAACATATTATTCTAGTTTTACAGTAGTAGGATGACACTAAGGTCATCATGTAGTCTAGGCCCTTAAACATTCAACTTTATTAATAATCATAAACATATAAAAATTTATGTGTTACTCCATCCTAGTGTGGACATCCAAAACTATGCAACAAATCTATGCTGACTGCAGTGGGTTTGTGTTCAAATCAAGACTGATAAAATGTTATTTAAATTCCCTCAAAATTTTTAATCATTTCAAAAGCGCGTCCTGTGTTTGAGAATTAAGTCACTGGACAGAGAGTAGGTAGGAGTAAGTTGCTCTTTGAGTGTACTCAACTTCAACCACATGAGCATTTACACTGTGAAAGCAATCTGGTGGAATAGATTTTCTAATATTTATAGAAGTGGTTGAAATGAGATGACCTTGAAATGTTTCACATGTTGTTGTTTTTTTGTGTTTTTTTTAGACAAGTCCAATTACTGTACTTCTTTGCCCATTTGATGCAGCACCACTGTACTCATCTGTTTTCCAGCAGGAAATTTTGTTACTCTGGATGTACTCCAATAAACAGGTGTGAAAAGGAGATTATTATTATTATATTCATTATTTTCGCTCATTTTCACTATTATTGGATGAATAAATTATCAAATATTTCTCATTAAGACATTCACCTGTATGTCTGTGATGCCATACTGGGTAACTGGGACATGACTTTACTACAGTTCTTCTTGGGTAAATGCCAATTCATCCATGCAAAGCATTACCAGCTATTTTTATTGACACTTTTTGGATTATCGTTATAAGTGATAACTGAATGATGTGTTACCGTTTAATAACAAGGTATTAGAGTTTTCATACCATTTTTCCACATGTAATTTTCAGTTTGTTTGCGACTCAACAAAACATTTAGCACCAGCCGCCACATTTAATGATCCACCTGTACCTAATTAACATGTTTACTGCAAGCACAGTTAACCTATATTTATCCGTGCTGTTCTGCAATTTTAAAGGTCACAGACATATCACATGTTGTGATGTTGACATGTTGTGAACAAACACCCATGTATAACACGGCTCTGCATCGACCTTGACTGTTCAATGACAGATTTTGTGGTTAAAATGAAAAGAGTGAACGTTTTGTTACCTCTTGTCCGAGAGTCCTCTGACCACGGCCAGCAGCAGAGCCTGGACGCAGAGGCGGTTCGGAGGACACTGAGACTTTCCCACTCTTCTGCTGCCTCCAGTGGTAAGCGTTCGCTCGGGCCACCGCTGGACGAGCTCGCCCACGGCGAGAGGACGGCAGTGGGTGAAGGCAGCGTCAAGCAGGGCTTGGTAAAGCTCTCTGGGCACACAGCTCAGCCAGTAGGGCGAAGAGCTATGATCGCTCACCACCTCCCGGGCGCACAGATTCACCAAAGACAGAACCATCTGCGCACAAACGAGGATTACTACTTTGACACACAAACCAAATGACAGACACGAGAGAGGAAGAAAGAGAAGGTCATACCTTCATTTATCCACTAAAGCGCCAGGGTGTCTCTAAAGCAGCCTAAAAACGACCTCCCTCATCACTGTCATCCTGCAAACGAACTACATGCTCCTTTCTATTAGTCTTGTTTAACCGCCATCGCAATGTCGCGAGCGTCTTAAACGTCTGATAAACCTAAATATAGGATTTAATAAGAGCGAAGTTGTTGAGTAATGGATGTTTTATGGCGCGATAAGATATCCAACAGTGTTGTAGGAACTGCATAAATTGTACACGCTGTTTAAATCTCTATGTGTTTTTCCATGCCGCTTTGACTCCCTGCGCTGAATGTTTACGACTGAAACCATCGTCGCCGTTTGATGACGCAAATAAGACGCTTTCATTTAGCGACGACCATTGGACAGCCAAGACGTTAGCATAAAGCATACCTTTATGCTTATTTGTAGCATTTAGATATTTGAATGGCGCTTTTAGATTATTGATTTTAGCGGCTTTTAATATCATTAAATGAATTGTTAGCAACATTTGTTCACCCACTATAAGCGTACGTTATTATAAATTATTCAAGTAAGCATCCTTGTTACTTAGCAGAGCACGATTACCATACACGGGCTTTCCTTTGAAGACTGACATGATAACTGTCGCGTTTAATTTTAATATTCAAAAATCTTTATAGCAATGATGCAATATTCGTCCTTCCATGTCAAGTATTTTGTCCACACCTCGGAATGCACTCACAGGCCACTTTATTAGGTATACCTGTCCAACTGCAGCAACTCAATGTATTTAGGCATGTGTACATGGTCAAGACGATCTGCTGCAGTTCAAACCGAGCATCAGGATGAGGAAGAAAGGTGATTTAAGTGACTTTGAACGTGGCATGGATGCTGGTGTCCGACGGGCTGGTCTGAGTATCTCAGAAACTGCTGATCTACTGGGATTTTCACACACAACCATCTCTGGGGTTTACAGAGAATGGTCAGAAAATGAGAAAATATCCAGTGAGCAGCAGTTCTGTGGGCACAAATGCCTTGTTTATGTCAAAGGAGTATGACCAGACTGGTTTGAGCAACAGCAACTTAATTAACTGCTCGTTTCAACCGAGGTATACAGAAGGGCATCTCTTTACACACAACACTTCCAACCTTGAGGCGGATGGGCTACAGCAGCAGATCACACCGGGTGGCACTTCTGTCAGCTAAGAACAGGAAACTGAGGCGACAATTCGCACAGGCTCACCAACATTGAACAATAGAAGATTGGAAAAATATTGCGTGGTCTTTTGAGTGTCAATTTCTGCTAGAATTTGGCGTTAACAACATGACAGCATGGATCCATCTTGCCTTGTATCAATGGTTCAGGCTGGTGTTGGTGGTGTAATGGTGTGGGGGATATATTCTTGGCACACTTTGGGCCCATATTGAGCATTGTTACTGACCATGTCCATCCCTTTATGACCACAGTGTACCCATCTTGTGATGGCTGCTTACAGAAGGATAACACACCATGTCATAAAGCGTGAATCATCTCAGACTGGTTTCTTGAACATGACAATGAGTTCGCTGTACTCAAATGGCCTCCGCAGTCACCAGGTCTAAATCCAATAGAGCACCGTTGGGATGTGGTGGAATGGGAGATTTACAGCATGGATGTGCAGCCGACAAATCTGCAGCAACTGCATGATGCTATTATGTCGATGTGGACCAAAATCTCTGGGGAATATTTCCAGTACTTTGTTGAATCAATGCCGTGAAGAATTAAGGCAGTTCTGAAGGCAAAAGGGGGTCAAAATATATACATTACCCTACAACAACAAAGAAAACCTTAGTTTAATGAATAAAATGCTAAATAAAATCCAACTGTATTTGACAAACTGTGAATTTGTATTTTATTAATATTTTTCTAAATTCAATCTCCCTCATTTTCAGTCACTTTGAATAACAGCATCTAAACACAGCTTTTCAGAATTAAATCTGTTAATAAATAGTCAAAGCTTATGTTCTCAGGTATCAAACAAAAAACCATATTTTTATTTTCACAGATGTTCAGTCATCTTAAAATAATATTTTAAAAATGTGTTGCTTTGCATCCTAAATGGCTACAAGAGACAGATTCTGTTCACATTTCTCTTTCCATGTCAACACGGTTTGGAAATTTTACATTGTTATGAAACATGGGCAGATTCAGATAAACCAGACATAAAAGCTTCTACAATATTTGGCTTGCTTGTTTGTTTTTGCTTGCCATAGTAAGGACAGCTGTAAAGGAACACTCCACTTTCTTGGGGAAATATGTAGAACCCAGTATATAGTTACCTAGATGGAGACCATTGCGAATACTGCAGCCATGGTACGGCAGCAAAGTTGCATGATTATAGCAGAATGAAAGTATAGTTTGGAACATATCTGCCTTGAAAATTGTAACTTTAATAGTAATTTTCTTAATACACAATGCAACTACAAAAAAATAAAAAAAAAGTTTACCTTAAATAGAAACTTATTTTTTTTGACATTTAAGTGGGTTGCTAACAATCTAATCCGATTCAATGGTTTATGCTAAGCTAAGATAGAAGTGCCTCTGCCAGACCCAGAAATTAGCTGTACAGATTTAAAAAAAAAAAAAAAAAAAAAATAGACGATAAAACTCAACTCTAGTGAATCTGTAAAATCAGCATATCTCCCAAAAATGTGGAGAGTTCCTTTAAAGGCCCACATTATAAAAAAGCCATTGTAGAAAGCCAAATAAATGTCAACAAAAATAAAAACTTGCAGACAATAATAAAGAATCAGTGCAGTATATACTAAAAATAGACGAATTCAAATAAATCACGCTTACAAAAAGCTTTATAGACAGTTTAACCATGAACAACAATGCAAGGCAAATACTATCTAAAATATCTATTGCTCATTTGCAAAGCCATGAGTTAAATTCAAAACATTCAGAGAAGAAAAAAGTACCTGCTAGTTACTTTGGATAAAAATATCTGACAAAAACAGACAGGGGGAAAAATAAAAGTTTAAAGGGTCAGACTACATATCAAGATAAATGAGAAAGTTCACATACAGAAGCTCCAAACCTTTCACAGTTTAAAAACTTAAAATGATAAAAAAATAAAATCCAATAAAACAGAGGGGCAGAAATGGTACTCAAACAGTCTTTTTAGTCCCCACCCTCCTTTATAATGCTGGTGTTTGAATGTTGCTTCATTTCTTTTCTGGGAGAGCTGGCGTCCAGGGGTTTTTACAGTCTCAGCTTCACCACTGCCTAAATGAGTCCATGTCAAAACTTGTCCAAGCAGCTCTCTGGAATCTAATATTCTTCCTCCTCCTCATTCCACAAAGAAAAGTAAAAACAAAGCACACACATTTCAGAAAAACCCTAAAAAGTAAAGTTTTGAAAGTCCTTTTCTTGAAAAAAAAAAAAGAAGTGGGTGCAAAGTTGACAGTGAGGCCCTTTGGCTGAAGCTCAGGATATGACCCGCGAGGAAACTTTAGACACACAGAGCTCTGGGAATCCTGGAGACACAGTAAACAAGTTGTTTTAAAAGACTATGATAAACAATTTATTGTTGATATGCTACAACCTGATCATGCTGCAACCTACTCAAGGCCCCAATACACCAAGCAAAAAAAAAAAAAAAAAAAAAAAAAAAAAAATCACAGGGACAAAAAAAGTTATGTTACTTCAAGAATCAAACAAACTACAATGATGAAGCAAACTATTGTAAAAATGCTCAAATACAGTGGAGATGTTATAGATGGGGTGTTTGAGGGCCTTGCCTACCCTAGTAAGTAAAGTACCCTTTACTTCTTTCTTTTTTTCCCAGCAAGATTAGACAAAAAAAAAAAAAATGTAAAAATTAAAACGAATTAAAACATCAATGTAAAAATGTATTTCTCAAAGTCAAGGTGTCTTTATTATTACCTAGTGGTGGACGGAGCGAGGCTTCAGGAAACACTGAAACAGTCTAAGCAAATGCGCCGAAGCTTCGAAACCCATCTGTACAGTGGTCTTATTTATATATTGCTCTGGAACAGCTTCAGCAAAGAAACAGTTCAGCAAATTGAGGTATTGTTACCCACGTTGTAGAGTCGAGGCATCAAGTGATTTAGTGAATCAGTAAGAGTTCCTGACTAGCATGCAGAGATAATGGGTTCAAATCCAAGATGATGCAGCTATAGATGATAGTTTTTAAATGCTCTGTTCTTGTAACACGTTTTGTTTTAACATTAGTCTGACATCCATTCGTCTCCTTTTGGTCATAAACATTATTAAAATTCCTCAAATCATAATTTTTGAGTATTCGTACAAGTCTGAATTCGAACTCAGGGTATTGGCAGCACAGTTATTCTGTGCGCACACACTGTCCACAAAGCTATATGAGAGAGAGATTTTTTCAACCCTGTCAGTCAAATGCAGATTTACTTTGTCTTGAAATGCTTTTTAAACGACGATGCTTTGAATCGGTGTTTCAAAACACTTTAGTCACGTGACCTGGATGTTTCAGATCATGCTTCGGTGCAGTGTTTCGAAACACTCGTGCTTCGGGATCTCGACGCGGTGTCAAAACATTAGTTTAACGTCAGCCATCCCTATCATTACCCACAGGTAAATTAGTTAAACAGACAAGAAATTCAGCAGTCTGTCACTAAAATTAATGCCATAGACATCAACACACTGTAACGCAATATAATATATGAATATTTTATTATTAAATGCTTTCTTAACAGCTTTTTTCTTGTTTTGTTGTGTGTGTTTTGTCTTGTTTTTGTTACTGAGCTGCTTATCACATATTTACGTGGTCATCAAAATAACGCTCAGTTTGCTAATGGTATCAAAATTCTTCTTTTTAAATTCTCTCAAATTTTCATCCATAATTGGAGAACAAAACAGAACTTTACTGTGACTTGCTGGTAACAGAGCTTGTTAGTTTAATACAAATGATGAAAGCACAAGTGTATTTTCAGATTGTGGATTATGAAAATAACTTCACCTGTCTTCCATGAAGCCATCCAATTCCTCTTCATCATCCAGTTCCATGTCCAACTCATTGTCGAGGCCACTGCGACCGTAACTGCTGAGGACACTAAACAGAAGACGATGTTAAACACAGAATGATTGGAAAATTCATTTTCTGTATTGTATGTGTGTGTGTGTACAAAGAGCGTTTACTGACCTGACTGAGCGGCATGTGAAGAATAGAATGCGTTTAAGCTTCTTGTTGTAAAAGAAGTAGTTAAAGGACCACAGGCTTCCTTCCTCACCAAAGGGATCAGAGTCCAGGTCTGGGTTGTAGCTACAAACACAAGAAAAATGCTTGTTACTGAAAGCCAAGATATAGAACAATGTATAAAAAGGCTTTTAAAAATGACAAATCTATAAGAGAAATCATTTCTTGACTCGTCTCACACCTGTAGATGTCACAGCCCTGCAGGTTTATCTCTTGGTCAATGGCAGTCCACAGTTCTGGGCCTAAAGTGTTAAACTGCTCCCCCACAGCAGAATAAAGGCTGCTGTTTACAGAGTTGGCCACCTGGAGGACACAAACAGAGGCTTAGGAAATTAAATCAGACTGGAAACATTTATGGAAATTCAACTAAACAAATAAACGAATGATGATTAATCTATTTTATTACCAAATCAATACGTTTTTCAGTAGAGGGCATTTTTGAATCAAAGATAAACTAATAGCACATTTTATCAACAAAAAAACTTAACAGAGCAATATTTCTGAAACATTAAAGTTTAGTTTAAACAAATATTGTAATTATGTCAACATTTACACAACGTCCACTTGTTCCAAAGTTGTTTTCTCCCCTTTAAAACCATTTTTCCATTCAAATTAAACAGTTAAAGATACTTTAGCTTCTTAACATAGCACAATTCACATAACAGTGCCCAATAGATTACACATGGTTGTAAAAAACCTCAGATATTATTGACTGAATATTAATAGAACTTTTAACATTAATTAACATTGTCAAACTAAAAACAAATGAAAAAAAGGTAATGCAAGTAGGGTATCAGTACATTTAAGTTTAAGTTACAGTGCATAATCTTTGCACTTGACCTTAAATACAATATTCACATTTGCATAATACTGCATTGCATCATATGTAAATGCTGTGACATGACAGCGTTTTCTGTATCCAGCTGACAAGTTATCATGACCATATCAGAGCAGTGGAAACTAACCCAGTTAGCACTTGGCTCTCGGCTGAACTCATGGGCACGGGCCGCACTGAAATCGTAATCAGGCCGGAACGATTCGTTCAGGGTGGTGATAAGGTAGAACAAAGTCTTCCTGCAACATTTATCGCTCAGTGGGTTCTCTGCGTCTTCCCCACTCTTCCCCAATCTAAAGGAAAATAACGGAAGAGATTGATCAGAGCGACTGTATTGTGCAATAAAATGAAAACTAGCTTGCATTAAAATCTTACAGGTTTGGACTCGGGGCACTGCTGGATTGAGGGGGTGACAGAGCCTCCAGTACGTGAGGCTCTCCTTCCTGACAGAACTGCTTAAACATGTGCTTGTCATCACCAGCCATCTTACATGAGTAACTCTCAATCCTAAAAAAAAAAGAAAAAAAAAATTTTTAAATTAATTTGTTAGTTCATTCCTATGTACAAACATTTTACATGCAAATATCACAATATACACCATACCATACTTATTAGGTCTTTAATAAAATATAACATGATGCTTTTTTGTACTGCTGTCATCGAGACATTATTTTGATCACGCTGACCTTGACTGCTGGGCTTTTCCAAACCTATATTTTTAGGCTTGGCTTAAAATGTCACAAATGTAGAGCTATGGGGGAGGGCATGAGAATACTGTATGTGTTTATCTTTCTGGCTTATGTAAGGCAGCTTGTGCAACTCTAGACAGTGCCAGTAACACTCCACACACAGATTTATTAATAGGCAAAGGGCAAAGGCTATAGCAGGACACAGAGGAGAGGTATACAGCTCAGGACACTAAAGCCTGCTTCCTTAACCTGTGGTAAAAAAAAAGGGTAGAACAAAGGTTCTCTATCGTAAACTGTAAATGATTGTGTGTGTCTGGTGTAAGTGTAAAGATCAATATCAGCAAAGACATTTCACACCAAACTAGACAGTTTAAAAGAAGACATGACAGTGACTTAAAATAGAGATGGGTCAAATGCAATATATGTAAAGCAGTTTGAAGTGACAATTACTTTCAAACACTATTCATTTCAGATTCTTCTTCGCAATCTCAAAATATTAATTTTAAAATTACAGCAAGGAAAGCATCTGATAACACCAATGTAGAAAGTATTTTCATATATCTTTATAGTAAACAACTTCAATTACACCACCTTTTTGGCAACAATTTATGTTGAGTCTTAATAAACTAAACAGAGAAGAGAGCTTTAGGTCAAGAAGACAGAGCCCAAAAACCCAGCTATCTATTACACAACTGCCCTGACCAATAGTAATATGACAGCATCTATCAGGTGAGCTGTTCTCCAATCAACTTCAAACTTCATTTTCCTTGTATTGATGCCCATTCGTTTGATTACATGTGAAGTATATCTGGGGCTTAAATACATAACTGCTAGTATTAGTATCTGTGATCTTTGATCTCCCTGTACCGTACCCTGCACTAATCCAATAACATGATTAAATGCTAAAGAAGCTGGCAGCTCATATGAAACTCAGCTGTGTTTACCCGCACCTCAAATAACCACACTGGTATGTGTTAAAGGACACTACAACCTGCGTCATGGCAACAATTGTGCCCCTTGGTAATGGTCTCTCAATTTCTTGCATAACACTTTCACAAAGAATAAAAATGATACATCAACACTTTTACACCCAAAACAACAGTAACTTCTATATTGAAAATGCAATGTCTTTCTTATACTAATAGTCAGAAGTTTAAAAATATTAAAGGCACCCAGATACATTTGCTAAAATGCTGCACTATTTGGATATGTAGTGCTAACATGTATTGCTATTGGTAAATAATAGTTCTGCAGCCTAATTTTCTCAGATACTGGTTCCTGCAGCGAGTTGAAAGCTAAAACTGATGCTCATAAGAGAGTTTGTTTGCGAAAAAAACAAAACAAAAAAAAAAAAAAACAGGAAGAATGAATGCATGTGTGGTAACGGGTGACAGGATGTTCACCAGAAAAGACATTTAAACTAAAACTAATAAACCTCCACAAAGATGTAAAGATCATGGCTCTTTTTGGCCAATAAATTCTTATGATGTTTCCAGATGTTTTTGATTACTGGAAAAGAAACAAATAATTTACATGTAAACGTTTTTAGAGATAGAGGTTTTAGCACAAAAATACATTTATTTTATAACATTAACACTATTATTTTAGAGGGACAGTTCACCTACAGATGTTCTAAATCTGTTAAATGTTTACTAGCCCTTCAATTATTCTCGTTTTACTTTTGCTCATATTTAAATAAGAAATACAGATAATAACGAAATCGAAGAAAGACACTGGTAGAGCACATTCTGCCAATAAAAGTCAATTTCGCTAAAACAGGGGTGTCCAAACTCAGTCCTGGAGGGAATTGTGTCCTGCATGGTTAAACCTCAACACTCCTCTCTGGAAGTTTCTAGTATATCTAAAGAGCTTGATTAGCTGGTTCAGGTGGGTCTAATTAGGGTTGGAACTAAAATATGCAGGACACCAGCCCTCCAGGACCGAGTTTGGACACCCCTGCGCTAAAACATAGTAAATTCTGATCTTTCGCATTTAAAGAAGTAATCCCAACCGATTAAAGCAGCTTAATCCAAGTCTACTGATGAAAGGATCAATGTGATGTACAGATTTAATTTAAGTCATTGTGGCATCTTGGCGGTATAACCATCAAGTGACATATTCATTGAAAACATCCATTTATATAGAATTTTACCAACAATCTCTAATAACAGAATTATCTTTAGAAATAGAAACAAAACAGACAAAAAATACTCAGTTTTAATAAAACCACCTTCATTTGTGTTTTAAATATGAATGAAGGTCTTATGAGCTAGGAAAGGTATAAGGTTAGAGACAAATTTCATGTATTCCCCACTTTTGCATATCAAAATGATTGAACGAATGTTTAAAGAAAACTTACAAACACCAAAGGTGAGTATTCATATTCATACCTGCCAATGATCTGAGCATCTCCAGTTTCAACACACAGCTGAGAGCTCAAAGCCTCAAAACGGGAATTCTCTAAAAGCTTCATAGCTGCAAAAGAGAACAGAGGGATTTGCGATGTTTCGTGTTTGCGAATAATCAGGTTCACTGCAAATTATTCATTCAAGTTGAAATAAAACACTGACATCGAGAAGCACAGGTGGAAACAGTTGGCAGAGTGTAGAGTTGCTTATTTACATACAAAGTAAGTACATTACGTTCCTTAAAGATAAATGTACCCATGGACACATTTGACTACATAAACCGATACAATAATGCATTACCAAAAGCAATGTTTTAATTGAAATATACAATTATTTCAATGTTTCAAGATTGTAAAAACAAAAAAATAAAAAATAAAATGAATAGATTATACTATTAATATTATAGCAAAAAGGCGTATTATTTGTCGACATAAATGAAAACAATGATCCTAGCCCATTTGCCCCCTCCCCCACCAACCCATCGAAACACTTCCTACTTATATCGACCTGGGTGTAACATTGAAGCAGTAAAGGTAAAAAAGAAAGTAAAAAGGGGACATTTTACTAAAGAAAAAAACAGTAAGCAGGACAATATTAGACTAAGAATAGGCGAGTTGATTGTGGTAATGAACACATTCACAGTTAGAGTATAGCAACATCAGCTGACCTAATTTACATTGACCATTTATGCAGTTAGTATTGACGACATAAAATCTTATTCATTTGTTGAACTTACCTTTCCTGTTGTACACCCACTTCCAGATAAAACAATGTATATATAAATATGTATTTGGGGAAAGAAGGGCTCACGGGCGGTTTGGTTTACAGAGCTGCTCTTTTAACAACACAAAACGAGCTCAAATGCTCTGGCGTCTACGCGCGCAGTTGATTGTATATCAAATAAGTTGCACAATGTAATTTCAGTATATGTGAAAATGACTCGGTCGAGATTGACATATTCTGCAGGCGTTTTCTCTTATCTCAAAGCCTCTACTTACGACTAAACTTAACATAAAACCCAGCGATTGTGTCGAGCTCCAAGACAGCGACTGCAGCAGCAGCATCCCCTTATTTGACCTACAACAAATGTACCTTGTGAAAACGAGATAAGCGTCGCTTTAAATGGCGCGAATTGCTCGAGCGACGCTTCAATTCGCGCTTGTACCCAATCGTTAGAGAATATTTCTCCTGTTTCTTGTCTTATATCCTTGAAAACATCGACCGCATCCAACACCAGTCACTATATCCGAAAACAGTTATAAGCCACGCCTCTCAGCAGTCTTTACATTTCCGTTGAACATGACCACACCTACTATGTGTGTCGTGTAAAATAATATGGACTTTTCTATTGGCTATTTAGTCTGTCAATTAAATGTTCTGTTCATTCTATTGGCGAAATGGGCACATTATTTAAATAAACAGAGAGCGATTGGACGTTTTCTGAATTCTTTGTAAAGTGTTTGTTTGCGTACATATTGTATTTTTTTATTAGTGGAGCAAAAATGGTATCATTGAAACTGTTTAAACACAGATTATTAAGAATTGAATGCATGAATATCTGCATGAATAGAAGCTGTTGAGATGTTTCGAGAAGGTGTTTGAAATGCAATGCGGTAACTTGATCCTCTGCTACTAGAGACGTGACAATTAGGACGTAGTCTCAAGTTTATGGATGAAGTGACAAATAAAGCTAAATGTATATTCGTATTATTATTATATGTGTTTTCTATTTTTTTTTTCAAACCCAGGGGGTTCAATCATGGACCCTCAAATAATTATCATGTGTCACCCATCTGAAAATGAAAAAACAAAAACAAACATAGGCTACATCTAGTTTCTTGTTTAAGATGTAAGATCCAGCTTATACTTTCATGAATCAATATAAAAATACTAATTAAATAAAAAAATATATTATTTGGAAAAATTTAATTTAATAAATGTGAATTGTAACTAATTTATAGTTTTGTACTTATTTATATATACAATATTTTTTATTTTGGATTAGTTATTTGTGTCATATTTCAACATTTTCAAATGCTTTCCTGTATACATATTATAATTAGGCTATTTGATTAATTAAATGTTTAAAAATATTTTTTTTTCAACAATGATAATCTTTTAATAAAAAGCAAATCAGATATTAATCGTTCATTTTAAATAATTTATTATCGTCTGTCATTTTATTTAATCAATTTGCAATTTTTCATCTTAAAAAGTTTATTTTTATTCTTTTTGTAATAATTAAACTGTTTAAAAAAAATAAACATTTATTTTAACATTGTTATAGACTTTCCACCAGTCTAAAAATGTGTCATAAACAACTCTGAAAAAATTAACAACAATCATTTTTGTGTGTGTGTGTGTGTGTGAAAGTGTTTACTAATTGAGTTAATGTTATTGTGATGTGATTTTATTGGGTTATTTTGAACCAATTAGATTTTAGCTTAGCTTTAGATTTTAATGGAAAGATCTGGATATAACTAATCAAACTATTTATGTTTTACCACTACAATATCATGTTCAGCTGTGATGGTTGAACACCTGGTAACAAAGCAAAAACGATAAAGCTTAACCACGTACAGCTCAGTATTTTTGCAGCATGTCACAGTTACTTACCCACATAATTATCAGCCTAGTTACATTACAGTTAAAGTTCTTGGGATGAAATATAAGATTGGCTGGCATTAAAAATCGGGATATCCCCTAAGCAGAGTGTATGTGAGTGTGTTTTCAACAGGAGGCGTATTTCTCTCTCACTCACACACTCACACACTCACACGCGCGCAGATAAAATGTCTGTCTCTGTTGGAGCCGTGTGTTTCTTCCTGCTCTGACGCTCAACTTCCCTCTATCCGAAACTAAAACAAAGATGACAAGGCCGCGACTTTTGCGTAAATGTCCGGATCAGAGAGTTGTAGGACATCTCCAAGCATCATATTAGCGCAGAAACGCTGGCTTGTACTGGGGTGTCAACGCGATAAATCCCCGCCTGAAGTAGTGAGTCGGTGGCGGCGGCATGTCGCTGAGCTCCGGCGGGTGGACTCGAGCATCTCCGCCGGCCCAGTCCTCGTCGTCTCACCTCGGCCACGAGGCCTCGCAGTCGGCATGCAGCACTGTTTTGATGTCGGTGAAGGTGTCGGTATGCCATTCCGGTATACGGCCGCTATGTCTCCCCGGAGCAGGAGACGAATCTCTCCGTCTTCAGCTGAGCATGGACCCCGGGAAAGCAGGGGAATTCCGCCTCGCGCTGCGGGATATCAGCGCTACAGCGGCCGGGCGCAGTGTGGTGAGTAAATGTCCAACTTGCCTGCAGTCTACAGTGCTTTAAACACTGTTTAAAAGTTAAGAAACAACGCAGGATAGTTGTATTTTTTAATCCAGTAGTATCTGCTCTGTCATCATTATATGGCGCCCTTTGGCTGATACAGGGAGACAGGACCCACACGAGTGAATCACATGTTGTTTTGCTAGTCTTTGTTGTTGAAATCCGCCCTCCACCCCCTAAATTTGATAGTTTGTTGAGAGTTGTGTATTACAAATACACTTTACATGGTTTATACATGTTTGTGATTATCTACTTCACATAATAATGGTGATCATGGTTGACACATTTTGTGTGGCAGACAAATAGCCAGAAAGTGAAACTGGCACTGCCCTACATGTTGACATGTTGATCTCGTTTGTGTATTGGGTCCCAGAGGCCTCGTTCAAGGTGTACATACACGTAAAATATTAATAGTTTTGACTTTAGCCTACTATTTAGTTTTTTTTCATGCTTAATGATCGTTGTTATTGTTACTAATATTTTAATCAAATGTGTATTTAAAAAACCTTTTTTTTGGAATTTTAATTTAATTAATAACATTTATGAATAATAATGTTTTAAAATTATTATTATTATTATTGTTATTATTATTATTATTATTATTATTATTTGTTTTTTATGCATGCGGCAGGACATGGGTTGCATAAAAATATATGGCAGCATAATTGGTGGTTCATTCTGCTGTGGCGACCCCTAAGGGACAAAGCTAAAAAAAAAATATGAGTGTTTTTAGACGTGTGTGTACTTTATTTATGCCATTTATTATATTAAATTATCAGTTGATAATTTGATTTGATTTATTTAAATGCCTTTTCTCTACGCGTTTCACAAACCCCTTACACTCGTTTTGAAAAACAAACCAACAAAAATAGCTAAGCTAGCTCATTTATTTGCTTGCGAGAAAAGTCAGTACACTCACTGAATTCTATTATATTAAAGTTCATCAAATTTTTGTCTCTCTTTATTTGTCTCAGTTTATTGCTGAATTTGACCTCAAGACTGTTCAATATGAAGTCAAGACGCCACTGTGCCATGAACTGAGTTTGGCAACACCTCCACATGACCGTATCTCGTTCAAATTTCGGTGTGAACAGGAAGCGCAGGAGTGGGCCACCGTGGTGATGTCATCCCTCCGTGAGGCACACAGAGGTTTGCATTTCTTCTGCCTTTTCTAAACAGTTTTATTATCATGTTCGGGACATTATTCATTCATTCATTCATTCATTCATTCATTCAGGTCTAATGGTGTGTTTCTTCTAACACATATTCTTAAATTTTTTTTTTAACTTTTACTCTTATGTGGTTTTAAACCACCAAGTCACTTGTTCCTCTTTTCAGTGGCAATTAGTTCCTCCACTGAAGAAGGGCGACTACCTCCTCCACCTCTGGCCACACAGAGCAAAGCACCCATGCCACGCACAGGTAGCCATTTGTGTTGTTGTCTTTAATATTCTGCTCACGATTAGCTTGACCTTTTTGCCAAACAGTAAACAATGTGTCAATTGTCCACTATGCTGAATCAAATATCTCTGCTGCGCCCACTTGTTCTCCTTCCATTTCCATTTATTCCTTCTCTCCCACGTTTCTTCCTTGCCAGCTTACTCATTTTTGCAGTAAATCATGTTCTCTCTTTTTTTTTTCTTCTTTTCTCTGTAGAGGAGATCTGTGCGGAGCTGGTCAGTGCGATAGAGGCAGGTGATGTACGGTCTGCATCAGTCTGTGCATCGTCTTTAGCTAAACAGAAAGCTGCTCTGAGCATTCAGCCCTCGAAACGAAACTACACAGACTCTGAAGTTTGGTAAAATCAAAGTTTATATTCTCTGATCCACTTTTTCATTTTAGCAATGTGTCCTAACCAGATTTAAGTAGCAGGTGATAAAAGAAGCCTGTTAGCATTCTTTTCTAACGACCTGCTGAATGTATGATGTCACACCCTGTTTTCACATTCAGAAAGGACAGACACATTTAATATAGCTGAAATCATAGTGTTAGTTTATAAGTGTGTTCTATTAATCATATTCTGCATTTCAGTAGTTTCTCATAATAGCGTTTTAAGGCATAGGTCACACTGAAATGAAAACTTTGTTGTCATTTACTCACCATTGTGTCCTTCTAAACTAGGGTTGTTGTGATACTGATATTATTATTGGAAATACTCAGCGATGTTGCAAAATTCTGACATCGGTTCAGATTTCCAATACAACCAGTATTTGTAACAATAAACCCATCCGATACCATCTTTTTAAATGAGATATTTGCTTGCTAGCTTTGCTTAAATCCCCATAAGCTGTAAGCTGCAACTGTTATTTTAAACATAGAATCACCAAGAAGTGACACATTGTTGCTATTTGGCAAATAGCAGCTAGTGTCACGCAGCGGCCATTTTGGAATGAAAATTCCTATAAGACAACAGCATGGATAACTAACATTAGACAGAATTAATCAAAATATTGAGTTAAGATATTATAATATACACCCCTTCGAAAAGTAACATTTTTATCTAGTAGTTTGTATGGCCTCCATGATTTTGCAAGACTTCTATGCATGGAATGAACAAGTTGGCTATATTTTGCAACATCTATCTTTTCTTTTCTTTAAAATTAACCCCTCTTTTAGAGTTGCTCAAAGAGATGCTAGATTTAATATCTCTTCAGAATTCCCTATTTGTGTTCAGTTGGATTAAAGTCAGGAGTAATATAATATAATATAATATAATATAATATAATATAATATAATATAATATAATATAATATAACATGTTAACATATTTTGCATAAAAGCGTTATTAGTCTTTCTTTAACAGACAACACTGGACAAAATACCATTATAGCAAATAATACTGCAACTAAAAGTGTACTGTCAGTCTGTTATCAACATCCCATTTTGAAAGTCATGCTAATTAAGATAAACATGTCAATGTTCATTTGCATGCTAGAGCGTCAACTATTAGATTAAAGTAATTTAAAGTAGTTTCAAGAAAACAAGTATGATTAATATATTAAACATTAAGTCTGTAAAATAAACCGTTGAAAGTGCTAATGATCAACAGGCTTGTGTTTGCAAGTGTTGTATTGTCATCTTTCAGTTTTTATTTCAGCTTTAATGTGCTTTTTAAATAAATAGAGACTCAGGGTAGGGCTGTTCGATTTTGCGATAAAATCATAATCATGATCATTTTGGTCATAATTGTAATCACGATTATTCAAATAGATCATCAGTTGAAGTCAAAATTATTAGCGCTCCTGATAATATTTTTTTTAAATAAAAATTTCCCAAATGATGTTTAACAAAGCAAGGAATTTTAACAGTATTTCCTATTATATTTTTTCTTCTGGAGAAAGGCTTATTTGTTTTATTTAGGCTAGAAAAAGCAGGTTTAAATATTTTGAAACCTATTTTAAGGTCAATATTATTAGCCCCGTTAAGCAATATATTTTTGGTTATCTGCAGAAGAAACCACTGTTATACAGTGACTTCCCTAATTACCCTAATAAGCCTTTGAATCGCACTTTAATCTGAATGCTTGCATTTTGAAAAATATCTAGTAAAATAATATGTACTGTCATCATAGCAAATATGAAAGAAATCAGTTATTAGAAATGAGTTATCAAAACTATTATGTTCAGAAATAAGTTGAAAAAAATCCTCTTTCCATTAAACAGAAATTGGGGGGAAAAGGGTTGCTAATATTGAAGAGGGCTAATAGTTCTGACATCAACTGCATATATATAATAGAAATAAATACAATAGAATAAAATTATGAAACTAACTGTGCTTTAAGCATCTTCACTGTAAGAAAAACACTTTAGCTACAAAAGTCATTCAGTCAAGAGCACTGAGGGATTTTCTCTTTTTTTGTTGTTTGATTAATGATAAAAACAGACGGCAGCAGGAATATTGCCCGGTCACTTTAACGGTTTCTCTTTCACATGTCTTTTGATTCCCAAATCATTTGTTAATTAAACAAATAAGGGTTAAAATGAATAATCACTAAACACTGCGTTTTGGCACCTATTTGACCATTAAAGCGCTCACATTAAGATGAATTTAGATTTTTTTTCATGTTTTATTAATGATTTAGTCTAAAGAACACCATAAGTGTATTCTACCAATTAATACTGGACTAGTAGTATACAAAACTGTTTCTTCATATACACACTCAGGTAATGGTTCAGTACTCAGTATCAGCCGATACCCTAAGCTCAGGTATTGGAATTGGTATCAGGAAGGCGAAAAGACTATCGGAACATCCCTATGCCAACTGGAACTCAAAAAAAAAGAAGATACATCAGGGAATGTACATGAACAACACTGAGACACTACAAAAATCTTATTTTATGTTTTACAGTTTTGGAAAGACACAATGACAACTTTATTTTTGCTGAATTATCTTTTTAATTTATACCTACCCATTCAGCAAATAAACCCATTTTAATATGCACATAAATATGTTATGTTTCCAAGCCATTCTGATCTCAGCTGGTGCCTTGATTTCTCATGCAGCTTGGCTGTGGTGGTGGAAGATGCATCCTCTTCCTGTTGTGTCTCGGTGAAAGTCTTCCCACACTCCACAATTGGTGCTCTCAAACAGCAGGTAGGTGCAGACTTATCCAAATAAACATTACTAACCATTAACTAAAAACTTTTATCGATCAGTGGCATTTTCAGAATTATACAATTGCCATTAAATCTTGCCCTCTCAGGTCTTCTCAGACTATGGTTTTCATCCACGTGTTCAGCGCTGGGTCATTGGTCAGTCTTTGTGCTCTGACCATCGCTCTCTGGCATCCTATGGAGTCCAGCGAGATGGAGACACTGCGTTCCTTTATCTCATTTCTGCCCGTCAGGCTCGTCTCAGTCGAGGGATCTACCAGCAAGATCAGGAAAGTGCTTTACTCATGGTGCCAACGACTCACCAGGCCCACCAAGAAGCAGTTAGCAATGGGCCAGCAGCACTCAACACAGCCTCAAGACCATACAGCACCCTGCCTACAAGACTTCATAACAGCCATAATACTCTGAGTGTGTATGCGCAGACACTAATGCACAATGTCAACACAAAAGGCTACCAGTCAGTTTTATAACATGCAATCACACATAGACCACAATAAGGCTGTTCAGTATTTAAAGTCCTGTAAAGTGCTTTGAAATATGCATTTTTATTCAGTGTTTGATGTAATCTCATCCGAAACACGAAGAGAGGGCGGGACATAGAGTAGCTCACTAAACATAGAGTAGCTCTACTTCTTTTTTTTAACAGCCAATAGCGATTTGTTTTTATCAGGGCTCTGCCAGTCAGAGCGATTAAGCTCAAACGCAATAAATGAAAAGCAAATGTGAAGTGTCTTGAAGAGGGCGGAGCATGTCAGATAGTATAGAGCATTTGATTGGTTATGATTTGATGAGAAACTGAAGTATGAGGTGACATGAATAAAACCTTTTATCGATTTAGGCGTAAGTAACAAACTACAAGCTTTACATGTCTATATCAGTCTATATCATATTCTAAACACAAATTTTGTCACTGTTTCGGAGCACACTAGCTTATAGATATCTTAAAAACTAACAATAATGATACTAACTTCAAAGAAAAACGCAATACCAGGCTAAATGGTGCAATAATTGCAATACAATATTTTTAAATATGTTCCTAAAAAGTAAAGAAAACCTAACATATGTTTCATATTATTTCAGGGAAAAGAAAGCATCACCACAAATTTTGAAACTGAACTGCCATGTTTTACTGTTACATAAATCAAATCATACATTTACACAAACAAACAAAAAGATATAATACATATACCCACCATTTGTTCCACTGGATTAGTTTTATCAACCTGAAAATATCAAGAACGTTTAGGTAAACAAAAATAAAGTGGAGTTACTTCACAGTCTTACTGCTTTTCTAAAGGGATCGCTTAACCAACCATTGCAATATACATTTTTGCCATATTTTGATGTATTGTGCAGTAGGGCTGCACAATATTGGAAAAATCTGACATTGCGATATTTTGTGATTCTCCAATATATATTGCAATATAAATACAATTTGACGAGGTGACTTGAATAGCTTGAATGATTGGAATTAATCTGTAGATTCACATCTGCATAAAATATAATACACAATCTACAGGTATAGATCAATACAATAAAAAGATACAATTAAAATAAAAAGTGATAAAAATTGTTTTCCAGGTTTAACAATATTCAGGTAGAGTTTTTGAATTATATCAATAAAATAATTCAATGATTTCTGAGTCTAACAGAATTTGGGTAGAGTAATTAAATAATATAAAAATAAATAAAATAAAAATAACTCTGTAATATTATTTGTTATTAATGTTCTAAATTTCCCAATTCTTATGCCTGAAAGCTTTTAAAATCCTTATGCAGACACAGGCCTCAAAACCACATGCAAATGATAAATTATAATCCAGACTTGCATTGATACTGAAACTATATATTGCGCAGTCCTATTGCGCAGCCCTAGATCATAAAGAGTGGTGATTTAAAAGTGATGATTTCAGGAAAGTTATATATATATATATATATATCTGCAATCTGCAATTCTAGCACAATTGGTATTTTTTGATTCTCAGGTAACAATGCTGGAGGATCAGAGAGGTTGGGTTTAAGTGATATTCGTGACCTGATCAACCTTGAGCTGCCACAGCTAAATGAAGCCCTGGGTCCCAACAGAACAAGCATACAGGTACGTTCTTTGAAAAAAATATCTAGATATACAAAGCATGTTTTTTAAAAAGTGGCCGAAAATAACCGCGTAATTCATTCTTTCAAGCTTTGTTTCTTCCAAGCTTATCTGAGTTCTGTTGCATGGTTGTGCTCCATTGATTTATTTAACTACAGCTTTTTATCAACAACTGTTGATTAAATTAAAGCTTTGATACTTATTAGAACTTGAAGTGGCGATGAGGTCTTAAAATATTCTGAGAAGGTCTTTAAGAAGGATTTAAAAAGTTTTGAAAAAACTTTAGGATTCCTGCATATACCCTGTTATATGTTGATGTATGTTGTTGTTTATTTGAATAAATGTTTCTGTGTGTATGCAGCCGGGATGGGCCTGCCCGACCTGTACGTATATTAATAAACCAACCCGTCCAGGCTGTGAAATGTGCAGCGCAGACAGACCTGAAGGATACACTGTTCCTGGCAACTACAGACCAGATGCTTTAGAGCTGCGACGCATTCAGCAAGAAAAAGAAGCAATAAGGCAGTACCAACAGGTAAGGATTATGAAACGCACATAATCACCCAGAAAGACTTAGATCTGATTAGAGTTCAGTGAAGAAAGCAAGAAGACGTTTTGCATAATGCTTCTTCCTGCTTCATCTAGAATTCTTAATCTTGTTATTTAGATGCATTTGGAAATCAGTGGGATCAGCTGAGTCTGCCATGTTGTTTTTGCTGTTGGCATATACATCTCATACACACCCATCATTTTACATCTACGCTCACACTTTGTCCTTTCAGTCAGCAATAAATAGTGGTTATTTGGTTTGCTTAATTGAAAAAAAAAAAAGAATGGTAGGCTTGTAAAGGTTTTTGGTGAGTTTTGAGATTGTCAGTATTAGCATCTTAGTAGTGTCATGGGTACTAGAATTTGAAAACAGCCTTTCCAGCGAAAACATTTACTTCTGTATTGTGCATGTTAGTCTGAAAAAAATCAAGAAATAAATCATTTTGTTTGGGTTTGTTTTTTTGGTAATACATTGCTTCTTGGTTGTTGAAATGCGTTCACTGCACTCAAATTGATGCAGGTGAACATGGAGAGAAGGAGATAAGATCACCATACATCACAGTTGTCTTTTTAGTGTCATTTTTAAAACGACATCCTTGTCATTTATTCATTAACAATAAGATCTATTGTTAAGAATATGGTAAAGGATATATGTTTAGACAAATATGTGCAAATCTTTATTGGTCACACTTTATTTTGATGGTTGATTTGTTGAATTTAAGTTACATTGCATCCATGGCAACTATTAGATTACAAGTAGACTGTTGGGTTGGGGTTTGGGGTAGGGCTAGTGTAAGTTGAAATGTACTTGCAAAGTTTCTTATAGTCAGTTAAATGTATGTTTAGCAGCATTAACAACAGGTATCAAGCAGACAGTCTACTAATACTTAAATGGACCACCAAATAAAGTGTTACCTTTGTATTCATTAATGAATTGATTTATTTTCAAATCGTCTATTTTCAGGTAGACCATTGGCATGATTATATGAAACTGTTCAGAATTGTCCAGACCTAATCAAAATATCTGTGTTGATTTGCTTTTCATAACAACAAGTTTTTGATAGGAATTCAGGGCAAATGGAGAGTATTAGATTGTCTGGAACTCCTGTGGTTGTACTGTTGCGCATGGCAAACTCAGACAGAGGAGTCTGGTGTGTTGTTTGTTTTGTTGTGTTTTCTAGTCGTTAACAGTATCTCTGCTCAGTGTTGTGTTTACCTTGAAGTACTGAGTTTATTACTGTATTAGTATTTCTGGTATTATTGTCAGTGTTTTTGATGTTTTGTTGTCTTAAAAATGAAGTGAAAGTCCTATAACCGGACTATAGAAATCCGGTTGGAGCATCCGAAGTGCCTAGATTAATGTGCGTCTGTAAATGATCTGATCGGAATCACATTTTTAAACCTCCTTTAAATGTGTTTTGTATCAGAATGTTTAACATAATAATATTCATGTTATTATTTTATTTGTACATTTTTGTGTACTATTTTTGCTGGCAGTCCGATCATAGCCTAACATGCATTTAGAAGGCAGCTTGGGTTTCATTTCATGTCAGTTGTTTTAAAAAATACAGTAAATACAACTTTTATTTAATTTCAGCAGTTTTTTTGCATCTCATTTGCCATTATATTTTAATAATTTACATCAGTTTTAAATCCATCAGGAACCACGATCGTTAGAAATAGTCATCAATCATTGAAAACCCATATCAGTCACCGCTATTTTTTTTCTTTTTTACCAATTTTTAAGGGTTTGTGAGTAGATTAAAGCCTGAGCTCTGATTGACTCCTCAGTCTGAATCTCTTCTCTTTTGTCTCTATTTCTTTTTAAGGAGAAAGGGAGAAGAGAGGAGCTGAGGGGCAACAACTCACTACTGCACAACCTCGACCAGGACTACTGATTACAAACACACAAACACACTCATACTCCAAACACAACTACAACACCAACACCAGCCGGTATACTGCACAACCTCTATATGCCTGAACAGATCACTGCTGAATAATTTGATCCATGCAAAGTCATCTTTTTTAAATGCAGAAGTTGAAATAGATATTAAACACTGCAGGTAATCTGTGTTGCAGGTACACAGAAACAGGTTTATACAATATTATTGCAAGGAGATCATACAGTCGCTTCACTACTTGATCTAATAATATCTTCCTTCCACACACTGAGCTTTTGTCTTGGTATAAATCAATTCAGGTACAGACTCTTTTAATGGGCTCACGCCTCAAGCATCAGAGGACATTGTATATCTCTGTAAGTAGATGAATGATACGATTCTTACTGCACAGCCTTTGCTTGAATGAATGTAAAGCTTCTATTTATATAGCCAATTTGATACAAGTTTAGTCTGACCTTACGATACAGTATCTCCTCATGGATTGAAATATAATAATAATAATAATAATAATATATATTATTATTCAAGAACTAAGTGATTTAAAAAAATGCAAATGAACTATTACTGCGTCCCATTTTCAGAGGTGATGAACAACGCACTTTTTGGTTTAGTGAAATCTAACCATACACTTTTGCTTACTGTACATAACCTTTGCTACATTGACTGTTGTTGTTCACACAAGCAACATGACTTTGACATCAAAGATGATATTGTAAGATAGAAGTAACTGAAGTAGAGAGGCGTTTTTTTTTTTTTTTTTTTCTCTGTGAATGATGTTTCACATCCCAAACCTGTGCCGTAGGACTGTGCAACACTCATGACAATTTGTAATGATTTTACATTTTGCAGAATTTTATTGTATAGTCTTGCACAATGCACTTTTTTTTTTAATGCAATCTGCTTATGCCATACTGATCCTGGATTTGGGTGTGCGCCAGAAAAAGCACACAAATTCATAAAACAATCACTGCATTTTCTAATTAAAACAAATTGGACAATGTTTCAAAAACATCCAAACCTCAGAATCATAAATGCAGGCGAAGACAAACTTATTAACAGTGTGAAGTTTGAATTATATGTTCAAATATTTCCTAAGTGATGTTTAACAGAGCAAGGATATTTTTCATAGTATTTTTATTATATTTTTTCTTTTGGCCAAAATGTTGTTAGGATAATGTTATCCTCAGAGAGGAAAAGCAATGCGTTTCCTACTTTTGTAGTTCTTATCTTTAAAAAAGTAAAAAAATGTCCATTTAGATAATCCTCTTGTCTTTTTCTTCCATGTGTTCAAAATAATGAGAATATTTCCATCACAGAAATCTAAGGTTCTGTCATCTACCTTTCTTTCTGTTTTTGTGTTTTCTCATTACGTTTGGAATTCAACGTGACTGTTCATTTTAATTCAGCGATTTAATTTTTAAAAAGCAAATGAACTAAACTAAAATGAACTCGCATTACATTTTTAAAGAGTAACTCAAATATTATTTTTTAATTTTTAAAAGTAATGCAGTACTTTACTTGGGATTTAGGAAAGTAATATTATTACGTAACTCTTATTACTTGTAACTCATGTTACCCCAACACTGTCTGTCTGTCTGTCTGTCTGTCTGTCTGTCTGTCTGTCTGTCTATAGTTAGGGTGAAGACTAGTATCTTGAAAAATAACTAGTAAAATGTTTTATGCAGTAATGATGGCATAGCCAAAATAAACTAGTTGTGAGGTATTAGTTATTAAATATTTTTTTGTTAAAACACTTGGAAAATATTTGTATAAGTTTAATCAAATTTTATAATTCTAATTCAATAATTTTGTCTTCAACTGTACATGCATGGTAAGAGAGCAAATGTGAAATACATGTTTACTGGTATAGAATTCTCTTTAAAGACATAACTTGGTGAATTAAGATACTATTTTCATTTTAACATCAAATCATATTATTTTTTTTCTAAAATATTACACCAAAGAGAGCGTAACTTACTTTTAACTCTCTGGTGCTTAGTGCATCATGGGTAAACCACATCTATAAGTAGGCCTGATGACAGGGAAAGAGAAAGAGATGTCTTTATGTCCTCACTTAGAGCTGTAATGTAGCATAACCTGTTTGTATGACTGTGGGCTTCATTCTTTCATCTTATGTACAATAGCCTTGATTTTAAGAAAGACAGATTGCTATGCAAATGAACTATGTGAAGTCGAATAAAGTTTTTTTTTTTAAATAGATGCATATCACAACTGGCTCTCTTGCATATTATTATCTTGATGTATTCACACAATACATTAAATAACTGCTTCAGTTATGGTGCCTTTTAGAGTTTTGTATTTTAGTATGTGCAACTGTGTGGTGGTTGATCAGTATAAACAACTAAGGTGAGTGACAGTTTTTATGATTTATTCAGTCACTTAAAAAAATTAAATATATCTATTTATACAGTTGAAGTCAGACTTATAAGCCCCCCTTTGAATTAGTTTTTCTTTTTTAAATATTTGCCAAATGATGTTTAATAAAAGCAGCTATTATTATTTTTTAAACTATTTTAGGTACAAAATTATTAGCCCCTGTAAGCTAATAAAAACAATTCTGGTCAAACATTATTTACTGTCATCATTGCAAATATAAAATAAATCAGTTATTAGAGATGAGTTATTAAAACTATTATGTTTAGAAATGTGTTGAGTGTTGAAAAAAATTCTCTGTTAAACAGAAATTGAGGGAAAAAAAATAAACGGGGCGAATAATTCAGGGGGGCTAGTAATTCTGACTTTATATATATATATATATATATATATATATATATATATATATATATATATATATATATATATATATATATATATATATATATGAGGGAATCGATTACAGTAAGAGTAATCAAGAATCACAGTGCATCCTCAACTCGAATGAACTGTAAGTGTAAATATTTATACTTCAACACTTCAAATTACTAACGTTTACTTGTTTGTTAGCAAGATGCTTTAATCATCATTTTAAAAAATGCTTACTGTATATGTAAGAAATTATTTCTCATATTTACACATTTTCACAAAAATATTTGAAACATTGAAGTAGATATTTAAATTGAATTTAAAATGCTGCTTATATAAAATGATTTTTGTATATTTAGTTTAACGTAGACCCCAAATGGGTCTGTTTTTATACTTGAAGGTGCATGTATAAGACAGTTGTAAAACCTTTATAGTTATGACATGACGCGTCATAAATGTGAATGAGATTGGATGCGTGCTATGACTTAAGTGTCAATTCCTCAGTTTTGTCATTTTAGATGTAAAGATGACATTGATATGACAACTTGACATAAACAAATACATAACAACTGGTCTTTATCTTTGTAATGACAACTTGACATTATCAAGACAACATGACTTAGTCATTTACATTACTTATACAATGTCATACATCTGTCATAAAATGATTGTAATGAGGCCATTATAACTGTCATGTATTTTTCGTATCATGTTTTTAGTGGAACAAATTATTTGTTATTAAATGTCTCATTAAAAGTGTCTTTACTCTGTCAAATATTTTTTAAAAGCTTCCCTAATATTTAATGTAGTTAAGGGTAAAACAAAAAAAAAAAAAAATTATATAAAACATAAATATACAATGTCAAGATGCCATGGCAAAAACCAAAACCTGTTGTGATGCATTTATGTCAAGTTGTCATAAACGATATCATCTATTGCAATTAAAATGTCAACTGAGAGAATGACACTTTATGAAAGTTGTTTTAAGGTCAAAAAGGTTTCTAAAGGTTCTAAAGGTTTCTTGAGTTTTATAAACACTCTTTCAAACAAATTGTTACCATGGCGTTTTCTCTACAAATATGGGAAATAATTGTAAGATCACTGAATATGTTCCTGCAGTTGTTTCTCCATTTTTCCACAATATTTTATTCCCACAAAAAGCTATTTCAAAAGATGCAATCCATATCATGTAACTTAATCAACACTTTTCATGCCTGAAAATAAAAACAAAATAATGAACTTTTTTCTTTGCTCTTCTTGAGGTGATAATATGTCTACAGAAAACGATTTGTTTGTCTTTGCTGTCTTTAATCTACATAAAAAATGCTATTATACAGCAGAATATTTTTTTAGTCTATTGATGTGGATTTGAAAGCTTGGCCTTTAACCTTTTTTCATACAATTTGTTTTCTGCGATTGAAAGATGACTAGGAAAATTGATTAAATAAACCGCCACCCTCTTCACAATATTGAAATAACTGATAAGAACACCTGGTTCATGAAGCCTTAAATGGATTTTGTTTCAGAAATGTCATGCAGAATTTGTAGACATTTAGACCAATGGTCTTAAACTCAATTCCTGAAGGGCCACAGCCCTGCAAAGTTTAGCTCCAATCACCTCCAACTCACACCTGCTTAATCGTCTCTAGTCTTGAAAACCTTTAATTAGTTGTATAAGGTGTGTTTGATTAGGGTTGGAGCAAAACCAGGAATCCAGTTTGAGACCTATGTAGTTGACTGTTTATCTGTAATCTATGAAATTCTGAATGCTCCACCTTCTGTGTCTGCAGGCCAGGGAAACAGAGCGCAGAGAGAACTTTGCTCGCCTGGTACAGATGGACGGGCAGGATCTGGTGCCAAACCCGGAGCGAGTGGAGTGCAGGATCTGTTACGTGGAGCTGGAGTCTGGTGAAGGAGTGCTCCTGAGAGAGTGTTTGCACTGCTTCTGCAAGTGAGAAATAGAGACACACACTCACACTGACTCTTCTATATTGATCTGCGGTAATATAGTGTGTTTCTCTGTGAGCAGAGAGTGTCTGCGCTCTGTGATTCTGATGTCGGAGGACCCTCAGGTGGCTTGTCCATACAGAGACGAGTCCTACGCCTGTGACTGCGTCCTGCAGGAAAGAGAAATTCGAGCTGTGAGTATACAATCATTCTTACTGCTTGTATTTTGCTGCTTTATCTACAAAACCAAAGGGCTGTAGAATATTCCGACTAGATCCAGAAGTGTCTGTTTGTGTCTGTCATTCTCTGCTGTTGTGACTCCATTCCATTGGCTAAAATGACCAAAACTCACGTTGCAGCCTCATCATCTGTGTTGTTTTTGTAGCTTTGACACACTATTATAACACATATTATAACTATTATACTATTATAACTTGAATATCTTTTACACACTTTCTGAGTCAGTACATCAATTTGAATCGAAATTGTTATTATTCAAGTTGGTATCATGCTAAGTGAAGTTATTTTGAGACCGTCCTCACTGCAGCCCGCAGCTTGATGACATACTGGACCAGGTCAGCTACATAATGGATGATCACCTACACCCCCCCCCCCTTCCCTAAGCCTAACCATCAGAGCAGCGTGGGTGTTACCTTAGTGGGCGGTACAAGGTCCACTATGTAATGGACCTGGTCCAGTTAGTCATTGTGGTTACTCACTGCAGCAAGGACTTGGTTATTTTAGCATGTTATTGATATGAATGTAAGTAGTTGAATCACAAAGTTGTTTTTAATACAATAATGTAAGTTGCTAAAAACACAAATGACAAAAAAAGAAGACAATAGGAAACATGGCTATAAAAAATGTCTACAGTCTCAGTTTAAGGAGAAAAGTGTTTCACTGCTTCAGCTACTTCATAGGCACATTCTCCTTTTGTCTTTAGCCTAGAATGTGGAGCAATTAACAAAAACTAATTTATTGGGTTACAGTATTCTTCTTTTTTTACTCTGTGGACTGGACATTCAATGCATTAAACAGGGTTCCCCCCGGTCATGGAATTTCTGGAATATCTTGGAATTTTAAAAAGTCTATTCCAGATATTGAAAATTGAGGGATATTATAAGTCATGGAATGCATCACAGATTTTTATTTGTCATTTTTACCTCCCATTGATTAATAGATATAATTTCTGCACTGTTTTTTTTTTTTTTTACCATGTTGTTTCACTTGGTTTGCCTATTGCTATCATAAGTCTATTTTCACTTCCTATTTATTCTTTTCCCACATGATTCTTACAGCTATAAATAATTAGCTATAGTCTCTTAAACAATAACATTAGAGATATCATGTTAGGATGTCAAGTTTTAGCAATCGAATGTTGTATACAGGGCTTTACATAAACTTTTTTTAATTACCAGCCACTGTGGCTAGTAGTTTTCCAATGTTACTAGCCACTCTGCATTTTCACTAGCCACAATTTTGTTGTTGGGAAAATATATTTTATATGCATAAATTTGACGTTGACATGCTAAAATTACTTGATTTAAATTTTGTTATGTCCACTTGCGTCCCCATTCATTTCTTTTTTTGTGTGTCGAGTATGAGCTTGCTCAATGAGCATGATCAAATGGGTCATTATAAATGGGTGTTATATTGCAATTAGTTTTTATTTCACAAAAGCTCAAAATTAACGATTTACCAAATTTATCTCTATAACCATACAAACCAATAATTATTTCTTAGCCAGAAATTTTGAATGTGTCAAAACAAGCTAAATATAACTATATACTATACTTTTTATTTAACAAAACATTTCTTAAAAAAAAAAGAAAAAGAAAAGCAATTGACTTTTAGAAAATAATTATTGTCATGTATCAAAAATATGCACAGTAATCTGTTGTGGCTAAAGATCTCTCAGATCACCGGTTAACTGCACATAAATGGAGAGTTCATCAGCAATGTTGTAAAAAAAAATTATAATAATTAACCGTTTTAACAAAAATAAAAGCAAATAAAACCGTATGCAAATAAAAGCAGGTGAAACATACCGTGTGTGATAATGAAAGGATCACATGCACACGGTTAACTTTAGGCCATTTAATAATCAAAGTTCAAAGTGAAAGCAACCGGTGCTGCGGGTGCATGTTCATCACTTTTTGTCTAGTTTATTTGAAAGAGAACTGATGACAGTTGCGTTTCCAGATACTGTTACAGACACGGTTGCTTCACGATTCGGGAGTGCGCACGCGTTAAGCATTCGCGCGCACGCGTTTGAAGAAGTCACGCGCATCAAATCAGCTGTTAACACGAGAGATCAGCATCCTCTCATTCGGTATTCACTTGCTTTCTTCTGCTCGCGTGAACACAATTATTGTACTTCTCGATTTTAAGATCACACTTGCACACATATTGGGTCATCCTTATATCGTCAAACCCTGCATTTAGGAAAACTACAATTCAAAAATTATTTTCAACCAGCCAAAGTGGCTAGTGGGATTGTTTGTCTAACCGGGTGTCT